AAAACTATTAGCAGTTAAAATGACAAAAGAAAAACAAGAGAGCGGTGCCTACGTTTAGGCTAAGCCACTTGCCAAACGCTTGAATTATCAAAACGAGTTAGAAATTCAACAACATGCGAAGTAAATAATTTTCAACAAAATCCCTAATCTAACAATAAGATTAGAAGCATAGAAAACATGCTCAATCCTACGTTTACTAAGCTTAGCAGAGATAGGCGAACAAGACCTTCATGAAGAAAATTAAACTACAAGAGTGAGTTAAACTACGAAAATACAAGAGTAGGAAGATTGGAAATCTTTGTCACGGTTTGGATGTGATCCTCCACTGAACGGTGCCAAGTTGCTCATCTATGGCTTCGACGAGAGTATTTAGAATGCGTTCCACGTATTCCTCGAAGGTGTTGTCAATATTTGGGTTGACGTCGAAGAACGTCGAGTGGAGGATGTGCACGAAACCTTGCTCGTCGTAGGCAAGGTCGTAGTCAAGATCGGGATCATCCATGCATCAATCTTGTTACGTTGAAGTAGTGACAAAAGTGTTCATTTGTTGTCCTTGCAGATTTTCCTTAAGAAAGAGAGATTTTCCTCAAGAATCTAAGTAGTGGAAGGTGGAGGAGGGTGGTCAGCCACAAGGGAAAAGCTTGGGAAATCAGATTTTGGTGGAGTTAGGGTTGAATTTGGGAGAGGATTTTGGAGGGAATGCTGTAAATAATTTCCAAATCAAAGATTCTTGAATTGGAAAATATTTAGAGAGAATATGAGAGTAGGGGGGCAGTGGGGTTAGGGAAGAGGTTGGGATTTAATTCCAAAAGTGATGGTATGATTTTGGAAAGAAATTAAAGAGGTGGGGGGGCTTGGGAAAGTCGGCCAAGGAAGAGGGAGAGGGGCTTTGAATTCCTTCCAAAAGAGCCACTTGGATTTTGGAAACAAATCCCAAGGGGATCCAATGGGGCCGGCAACAATAGGGAGAGGGAGGTGGGATTTTAAAAGGCAATCAAAGCTTTCTTAATTTAATAAATTAAATTTAGGATGAAATATTTCATCCCAAGTTAATTTAAAAATCAAAAGGCTATGATTTGGAAAGTTTCCAAAAATAGGATTTCTAATTTAGGTAATAATTTCAAATTCAAATAAATTTGAATTTGCTTTAAATTATATTACCTAAATTATGAAAGCTAATTTAGAAAAGGTTTAATGGCAAGGGAATAGGGAGGGAAACCAAGGGGAGGGGCCGACGGTATGGAGGCTTGGCCGTGGGTGGTGTGGGGGTTGGGCCTAGCCGACAGGTGGGGTGGGTAGCTAGGATGGCCGGCGGCTAATCGAGGGAGGGAGGAGGTGGTCGGTGGTGAAGTGACGAAAAGGGAAGAGAAAGATCACATAACGAACCATGAACCTGGCCGTCTCCAAGGTTGGTGGGTGATCCAAATTCCCTCTCCAAGGGACCTCGCTCCAATCTCTCAAGCTCTCATGAGAACTCAAACAAGGGGAAGAAATTTTATCATCAATCATTCATTAACTTTAGAAGAAGACATAAGGACTATAAATAGTCTCGTACAAAAGGACTCAAAGATAAAATACAACATTGCCCTTAGGACTTACATATGACCTCCCTTAAGGGGTAAAACGGGAAAAACAAATACAACATAAATAACAAATAACACAACAAAACAAATACATGAAATGACTCAAAAATATATCGACTCGATCGTGGCCATAGATCGACAGCCACGCCTCTGATATACTTTCCATGCTCTAATGTCCCCATCACAAAGAGTAGAATGACATGAATCAAATCAAATCCACCTAATCCATATATTTATTATAATAGTATATATTTATATCAAAATATATTAATGGAAATCTTAGTCATCCAATCCACTATGATTCTCTATTTGACATAGTGGTTTAAGAAAACAAATATGGCTTTCAAATAGAGAATCCTGACCATCCAAAGTGAACTGGATAGCCCAGAGTAGTCATTGCATCAAGTGCAATTACTATAACTGAATAGGATCTAATCCATAATCCATATACATATATACTATCTATATATCTATAAAGTATATGAAAAATAGAAGCAGAGTGGCATAAATTCTCCATATTTATATTTAAAATTATATGCATGTAATATATCATATAAAATTAAATAAAGTCATAACATTTTTTATATTTTATTTTTCAACCTAATTTCTATGAATATACTTCCCATCTCTCAAATAGTTTTATCTTTCAAGTGAAAAATTTCATGTGCTGGGTTGCCAACAAATCATCTCCATAACAATGAAGGAATACAAAATCATATCATTTCCCAAAGAGTTCTCCACAAAAATAAATCAACCTCTACATTATGATGCAGTTTTGCTTGATAAAGCCTCATGCTCCATATAATACTCATTTGAGAAGAATATCTGTAATTAATTAAAACGCCAATCAAGGAGTTTTAAAATGCCCCATGCAACAATGATTAATATGCTTATGCTTTAGAAAGAAACAGGGTAGTCTATACTTTACTGTAGTCTCAGCTCAAGTCCTTTCTTAAGAGAATTGCAACTCTTCAAAGAGCTTACCTAGAGTAATTAATCCAAAGCTTAAGGTCTATAACAAGAGGAAAAAAAAACACAAAAACATGCATTGCAGCAGTTATGTTGGAGTTTCTATAAGCAAATAGTCCTTCTATTTGAGTTCTAATAATCTTCTAAAATGTGTATATAAATGACATTTATGCATTTGAACATGTTTCCATGCATGTTTCAAGTCTGATTGTAAAATGCAGCTGAATTAGGGCGCACCATATCATCATATGGTATGAACATAACATCACTGATTTTAACACATTACCTATGTCATGTATGGTTGCCTCCGTACGTAAAAGGTTTTAGTCTTCAGCTCAAAGATGCGATGACAAATAATTGATTCACTCAAAATGAATTTCTACTTCTTTATGAATGGATATGAAGTGCTTAACTTTGTTCTTAGTCCGATCCTTGAAAGAAGCAGGTGAATCACACCAATGAAACTTGCATAAGAAGCTAGGATCTAAGTGCAAAAGAAACCATGCAGAACAATTGATCCATATCCCACAACAACCCATTATTAGTGTCAAGGTTTCCATCACAGTCCTAGCGTAGCTCTAGCAAATTTCTTTCTCACCAACATGGCTCTTACAATTCTTATTTATAATGGTTATCTTACAATGGATCTAAAAGGAATGATCCAAAACCAATTTAGACCATCGCCTTACATTTTTCTTTTCATGAAAATATTCTGTTTTTCACTGTTTTCTTAGCAACTTTGCATTTGCAAGTTTATGGCTTTGATCAAAAGAATGGGGTTATAGAATATAAAATAACACCAAGATGTGCTAGGTTTAAATGGATGTAAGAAAATATATATTTCAAAAACGGGGATATAGATGACGATATAACATGTATAATTAAGTGTAGGTGTTTGAAATAGAAAGGTTCCTTAGAAGTATTATGTGATAGAAGAGTATCATGGAAACTTATATGCAATTTTATAAAGTTGTAATTAGGCCGAGGATGCTATATGAATCCAAGTGTTGAGCAATAAAAAAATGTTGATAAATAAATTGAGCATCATATAAATGAGAACGTCAAGATAGATATATGGCAAAATTAGGAAGGATATATTAAGAAATGCTTTGATTTGAGGAATGATTGGAGTGACATCTATTAAACATAGTTTATGTGGTTTTGACATATACAACTTATAATAAAAAATACACATTAAATGAGTAGACAAATTAGCGTTCGAGGATTAGGAAGAAAGGTAGAGCTAAGGTAAAATATATAGAAGTTGTACCAAATGATTTGTGGGGAATAGATTTAACACCTTTGGAAGCAGTCATCATGAATAAATAAAAAATGTGGATTCAAAAAAACAACCAAAAATAGTTTGGTAGGTATGATCATGATAGTGGATTTAATCTATTGTGTGCATGCACAATCTAGTTTGCATAATATTTCATAGTTGGTTATACTTTGTATGTATTTATCATGTAAATCTTAATATTCTCCTCCATCAATACTATTTGATAACTACTTGAAAGGGCACACCAACCATTTTTATCAAGCTTTATTATTTTGTGAAAACCCATCTAGAACTACAAGTTTAACACCAATGGATCTATTTAGAACAATGTTGTTGTATAAATCCGGAATTAAATTAGCAAGTTGGAGCAATGAAGTTCTAGTAAATTGTTATGGAGCTAGGGGTGTTTTTTTTTTTTTTTTAAATGGTAGGAAAATGGGGCACACATTTCAGAGATTTTTTGGTAGATTGGCTTGAAAAAATTCCAGTGTAACGTGAATAGCAGTATCATCCTTGATAAATAGCAGCAATGAGATCAAACAATTCATGCGTGGAATAAACATTTGAGAAGATGTTACCACTCACTAAATCCAAGAGTATAATGAACTAAAATATCAGAAAGAAGTGATTAAAACAAAAGAATTTATTCTGTTTATTTGTGAAATTGTGACACTTTCTCTTCTGGAGATGATGAAAGTAGATGAAAAATATTTTTTAAAAAGTACGGAACCAAAAAATACTCCTCCTAAACCTGAAACAAAAGAACAGACAAAAGACAAATAACATAGGTGTTCATGTCGGTGCATTCTCTCTCAGATCCCTTGAGAACAGTATACGAAGCGAAGATTTCATCATTTGAAGATACCATTGTTAGTGCGTATCGCAAGCACATTTTATCCCAAACTCAGATGTAAGAACTGAACTCTCATATTTTGGGATTCACAACTTCTCCACCAACCAACGTAAATGCCGCCCCAGGTGTTATTTAATACCATTACCTCTTACCACGAGACTATCGAAGTCGTGAAAACGAAAAATACTTCATAACCAAAAAATAAATCTAATAGAAACAGATCAGAATAGCAGGAGCACAGAATCCATCCCTGGACGGAGAATCACACATGAGCGGTCTGAAGAAAAATCAAAGCAGGCAGCTGTGAAGAAAGTACCAAGGAGAGAAGGAGACTTCGTGTCTCTGAGCGAGGCGAGAGAGGACGCGAGCGTCGCCATGGCGATTGTTACCTTGTTCTTGCCCTCTTATCTGTATGACCTGCAGAGCGCAAACCAGGAGCTCACCTCAAAGCGCAGACGAAACAAATACAGCAACGACGCAGCATTAGCGCAGGCACGTGTCATACTTTTGGCACGTGTCTTATGATCCGGGCTTTGGATTAGGAAGGGGCTGTAGGTGAATTAGTGCATTCTCTGAGTACTTTGAATTTAATTTTACTAATATTTATTCAAGTTTATCTATTTTAATAATTAAATTAATTTAAGCTCATTTAAAAATTTTTAAGAGTTCGTTGAAATTTGTCTATATCCTAAATACACATTTCATTAACACTAAGCAACCCTTCCACCCTCAAAAAAATAAAAAAATAAAAAAGTAACCCTTCCACCACCATTCTAAAGGGACATAAATCAATGTTGCCTTCGCCATAAATATTACATAAACCCCACATAAATTAGCATTTACATCAAACTCCTCTTTTGGACATGGGCGGATTTAAGGAACTTTTATTATATCCAGTGAACGTACGCAGAGGAACGTTCGGTTTTAGGCAAAAAAGCGCATGTACCGAGTTTTTTGACTCTATATATATATATATAATCAATAACAATAAATTAGTAACAATGAATTAGTAATAGTAAATCCATAATAATAATTCACATATCCAAGTAGTTAAGGAGTTTTGTCTTATGTGGTGTTTTTCTAGTGAAATTCAATTCATTTCTAGTGGATTTCAGTATAGAGTCGTCATTCTTGTCCATCGACATAATAATTAGCTTTTCATAACTCACAATTAGTTAATCACATGAATTACTAGAGAATATCACTATAAATCATAGTATTTAAAAGAAAGTCTGTCAACTCATCATACAATACATGTATAAATAGTCTACAACCAACCTCAAGAATAACTAACCTTACCTTATTTTCGCACACATTATTATAAAAGTAATAACAATCCACTATTACTCATTTATATGCCTATATTCATTCACAATATAGTTTGCTCAAATTAGAATGCCAAAGTCACTATATATCTTATTCATACTCAAATCATATAAAATACATTAATTACAGTTTAACTCGTAAAAATATAAAACCATCTAGTCATAATGACTAGAATAATTAGTACTATAATAAATCAAATGTTATTTAATAAAAGTTCACTAAACAAGAAAAAATGTAATAAATTTCAATTTAAGTAAGAGAATCAATTTCAAAATCAGAATCTTTGAAAATAGTGGTAGTATAAAAGTATCCTGAAATGATCTAAATTTTTTTTATAGAAGTAGCAAAATGAATTAGCGACCAGAAGCTTGCTTTTTCTCTTCTCTCTCCTCCTTCCCTTCTCCATCCCGACTAAGGGAGCTAAAGTAAGGCTTATAGAGCAGATGGAAGTAATATTTATTATAAATTAATATATAAAAACTCATTTTAGTGCCCTACATTATGGCACTCAAGTGACCTAGTGTAACAATATTGTATCTAAAATAACACTGCGTCGCGACGCTACGTTAACCCATGGTGGGACTATTTTGGTTCCTCTTTACGGAGTTGAGGGGACCAAAATAGTGTTTTAGTATAGTTGGAGACCATTTTGATATTGCATAAAGAGTCATGCACAATAGGAAATTCAGTAATTTGCAGTGGTCTTTGCGACGAAAAAAAAAATTTCTCTAAAATAGCGACAGATTTGCGATAAAATTTTCTATCGTTTATTTTGACATAGTTGTGGTCAATAATCTATCTCAAATTTGTGATCAAATATCTATCATGAATCCACAACAAATCAATCATAAATCCTTCACAAACACTTCTATCTAAATCAATATCCTCATTGTGGGGTAAGCAAGATTGGCTTATAGTCATCAATATTAAACCTAGGGGGGCTATTGAGAATATTGCATCAATACCAACAGTACTTCAAGAAAAGTGTATGCCAAACTTTAAAGAATATGCTAATGATATAGATAATAAAATTATAGCTAATGAAATCAAGTTGCAGTTAGAGGAGGTAGACTTAGACATTGAAAATAGCATTAAAGATGTTTGTAGTCAATATGTGGTCTCGTCAAATGAAAGTGAATGACCTAATGATTAATAGTTATAAGGTAAATGTGAATCACATATTAGTTTTTTTTTACATGTTAGTATACCTACAATAGTTCCTTTTTTACATGTTGGTATATATAGGATATTTCTTTTTTTTACATATTAACATACATACATTAGTTTCTTTTCTTATAATTAATTTATTTATTTTCTACATTTTTATAAATATACAAATTATAACTAATTGTTTCTTTTATTTTTTTAGCAGATGTCTTCTGGAGGTGATGAGCCCCATAGGCGTTCGATCACAAATATTTTTAAGATCAGGAAGAATACCAATGGAGGATCAAGTAGGGGTAAAGGTACTAAGGGGACATCCTCTTCACAGCCTGTCACATATACCCATCATGTCTTGCCTTTACCTACACCTCATGCAGGGAGTCCTCCATTTTACTTTGTAGACCCTCACTTTTAGTCATCAAATCCTACGTAGATGGCTCCCTTTTACACGTACTACCTACCACCATCTTCTCAAGGATTCCCTACTACTTATCACTATCTACCATATGTTCCGCTATTTTACTACCCACCACCCCCTCAGCCCTATACAGCTAGACCTTCCAAGCAGGTTATCGCAGCAACGAATATAAATGGGCATATGTTGATTTAGTATGAGGGTGACGTGTATATAAATATGTATATTTTATATTATGCATATATTTGAGAAATAATATTCTTCAACTAAATTTTGTGCAAGTTTTATCCATCAAATAAGCGCATACACTAGATACGAAATATCATACGGAATAGGTTTGATGCTTCATATGTTTCTTAGAACAAAATCTAAAGGAAGTGCACGACATGTGGTTCATAAAGTTTAAGATTAGTAAGTTGCAACATAATAAACATCTCTTCATATTTTATTACACTAATAAATAATATTTTTTTCTAATTTATTGTATACAACGAGATTTCTATTGTTTGCCTGAGCATGTTGTTAGAATCAAAACAAATTTTGAGAAATGCAAAGCAACTCACTTGCAAGACATTTTCACTCACATTAGGAGGGAAGACGAGCGATTACTTTGGATTGGAGAGGGAGAATGAGTTGAGCTTAATAGTGCTTGGGGCCGGGTAGCCTAAATTTATAGCTAGGAGGGAGTAGAACAGATAGAACCGAGGTTTTGATATTGGGGGCCTGGGTAGTTCTTTCAATACTAGGGGCTCAGTTTCACACACTGAGTATAGACGATGATTGGAAATAATTTTAATAGTTTTTAATAATTTCTTTGTTTATGAATGTTAATCAAAGTACAATACAGAAGGAGAGGCTTTCTAGATAACCCACTGTAGTTGAGTTATAAAGTCACACTCATAAGCACCAGGAGAATCAATTGTGAGTAAATGAGTGAGCTAGGAGGACATTTATAAATATATAAGAATATTATACTTATAGAAATATTATAAATGACGATTATACAATGATTAATATTATTTTATATTTTGTTGGATGAGTATACAAGGCTTCGAGAAAGCCAGGCTGCAGTAGTGAGGGTTCCTCTAGTGGATCTAAAGATATTTCTGGCAACCACACTTGGTCACAGGCGGTAGGTAGAATGCAGAAGGGATGAGTTTATGAATTAGGCTCGCAAGCCTACCATGCTAGGGACAGTCCTCTTATGGTACCAACTACTCCGTAGGCAACCAGAAGAGTTCAAATAGCCAACATGTGTCTAGCATGACAGCGGAGTTACACTACAGGAAATTCAGGCATTACCGACAGCTTTTCTAACGGTTAGTGATAGATTTCCGGCAGTTTTTAAAAAAATGGCGGCTTTTTGACGGTTTAAAAACCGCCAGAATAAACCGTGTAGGAAACTATTTCCGGTGGTTTATATCACCGGTGACTTTCCAACGGCTAAGACGGTCGGTAATTTCCAGCGGTGGTAATGCCGGTGATCATTGGTTAGTTATCGATGGCATGCCAGTTATCAAAACCGCCAGTGTTACCGGCGGCCAAACTACCGGATCATCGTCGGTTGACCGCCGGCGACCGTCAGTTAATCACTGGCAGCTTATCAGCTGTAAAAACCATAGGAATTATTGGCGACTAAATCGCCGGATTATCGACGGATAACCGCCGGCAATCATCAGTAAGCCATCGGTAATTATCGGTGGCTTTAGTAAACTTCTGGCAGCTATGATTAGCCGTACGATATCGAGGTTTCTGGCGGCCAAACCTCCGGTTAGCCGCGGGAAACCTGTAGCATTTGAAAAAAAATTGACGGCATCCCTTCTATATTTACTGATTTTTATCCTAAACTCTAAACCTTCACATATTAGACAATAATTGTCATAAATATGTAGCCTGAATAAGTGTATGTGCTTTATTTTCGAACAAGTGTACTTTATTTGAATTGAAATTAGCATGCTTTGGTAGCTGAAACTGGAAACTTTTTTAGATAAACCCAAACTTAAATGGAAAATAGAGTTGGATATCTTATAATACAGAAAAAAATAATCTATATTGATGAAATTTTAGTTAACTTTTACTGTTTTGTGAACTTTTAGTTAGATCAAACTTGGCGAAAGATATGAGGATAGTGAAGTGTGCTTCTTCCAACATAATGCTTCTTGCTACAATTTTCTCTTACATAAGTTAACCTTTGAGATCATTCAAATCTCCATAATAAGTTGCACTTCCTATTCCCATTAAAAGCTCTACCACTCTCTTTGTGATTAGAAATAATAGCTTTGTTAAATTTTGATTTTCTACCATATTAAGTGTCTCACCTCAAGTAGATTTGTTAGTGATTTTATAGTTATATTAGACATAATCAACATCCTGCACCTTAATACCCTAAACTCAGCTTATTTACCAACTATCGTTTCATATCTGGTCTCTAAGAGTAAGTCCACTCATCCATCTGAGCATTCTCATCTCAGCAACACTTAACTATTATGCTTCTCTTTTAATGGCCAAAATTCTGCGCTATAAAGCATTGCATTCATAAGATATCTAAAATGTATACTCTTATTAAATGTGTACTAATAATATCTCAATCTATTT